CGTAATCGGGGTCTGGAGACCCCTCCCACAGCTTTACAGGAACCGCGGAGCCACAGAGACCACCGAGGAAAACACCGAGGTAAAGAACTCTGTGCCGTCCTCCGTGTCCTCTGTGGCTCCGTGGTTAATCTGTCGAGCAGCGCTTACGGCAGGGTCACGACCTCTTCACCGTCGCGGGTGGACATCGCGCGCCAGACGGCGAGCTCAATGCCGTCGGTCACCGCTTGGACCGAGCCATCGGCCATCGCCACCTGCACTTGGCCGGCGTGGTGGCTGCGCGAGGTGATGATGGCGTAGGTCGGCTCGCCGCCGGCGCCGTTCTTGCCTTCTTGCCACGAGTTGTAGTCGGCGTCGACTTCCAGTCCGCTCGGGTTCGTGTAGGGGACGAACGTGTTGGGCGTCATCGCGGCGGTGAAGCCCGTGTGGTGGACGCGGCCGTCGGGCCACTCGGTGTGGCCGGTCTCTTTGTAGTCCGGACCCGAGGCGACGATGGTCGCCGCGTCGTCAACGGTCGCCGGCGGCGTCTCGCTCGGCGAACCGCCGTTGCGGGTGTACGGGTTCCAAGCCTTCACCTCGGCGGCGAGCAGCGTCTTCGACGTGCCGTCGATGACCTTCGCCAACGGCAGGTGGCTGTTTGGATAGAACATGCCGCGGCCGCCCTTGTTGGTGGTGGGGTCGTAGACGAACCACTCGCCCATGTTGAAGCCGTAGTTGGTGGCGTAGAGCAGCGGCCGATTGCTGCCGGGGTCACGGACCTCTGCGGCGCGGGCGTCGCTGGGGCACTGAAAGACCGAGATCTGCAGGTTGCTGAACGCCTGCCCGTTGTTGGGCTGAAGGTCCCACCCCAACTCGAGATCGACTAGTTGGCTGAGGCTCCCTTCTTCGATGTAGTCCAGCAGCCGGCCATGGACGCCCCACGAACCGTTGTTGACCGTGGTCGCGCTGGTGCTGACATCGACGTTCGCGCTGGGGGGGAGCTTGCGTTGGGCGCTCTCGTAGTTGAGCGTCGCCAGGGCGAGCTGCTTGAGGTTGTTCTTGCACTGGTTGCGGCGAGCGGCTTCGCGCGCAGCTTGGACCGCCGGCAGCAGCAGGGCCACCAGGATGCCGATGATGGCGATGACGACCAGCAGTTCGACCAGCGTGAACGCCGGTCGGCTTGTTGGGGCGGGGCAGCGGTTCTTCATGCCTGTCTCCTCTCTTTGTCGGGAAAAACTTCTCGTGTTCCGCGCCGCCTTCCCTCCGACGCCCCTTCTTCGGGGACTGCCGGCGCCTCGGGCGGCGAGCCCCTGACTTAGCGGGCGCCCCCAGGGCTGGCAAGCGATCGGGGCGGAAAACCCGAAAAGACACGTGCCCGCTAAAAACACGGACTTTTTGAGGTCGCAGGACGCGACAGACGCGTCGCAAGAACCGACAGTTCGGCGATGCCGGCACGTCCAAGGACCGCCGCCGGACCGGGTGGAGAGGGTCTCGACAGCCCCGGGGGCTGCCGGTATCCTGTGGGGCTCGCTACACACTATCCGCCGACGCCGGGGCGGCCCTCACTTATCGGCGACCCGAGATTTAGAGCAAAGCCATGTACGCGATCATTGTTGACGGCGGCCGCCAGTACAAAGTCCAAGAGGGTCAAGAGCTGGCCCTGGACTACCGCGAAGACGTCAAGCCCGGCGACGTGCTGACGCTCGACAAGGTCGTCGCCGTCGGCGCCGGCGAGGGCCTCAAGGTCGGCACGCCGACCGTCGCGGGCGCGAGCGTCACGGCCTCGGTCCTCGGCACGGGTCAGGGCGTCAAGATCGACGTCGTGAAGATCCGCCGCCGCAAGAACAGCCGCCGCCACACCGGCCACCGCAAGATGTTCACGAAGGTCAAGATCGACGCGATCGCGGGCTGAAACGCGCCGCGACGGTTGAATCGAGACAACAGCGTTTAGGGAACACGAGCCTCGACTGGGAATTCAGTCGGGGCTTTTTTGTTACGCACATACGGTTGGAAGCGGTGCTAGTCATTGGTTCACTGCACTAGCCGGCGTTTCTCAAACGCATCGCGGCCACGAAACGCTGGTTCGATCGACCGCCAGGCTCTCATCAACTGCGAGCGGACGGCGTAGCGAGAGTGATGGGCGACGCTGTAGGTCTTTCGCATGGCGTTGGCGGCGCGGAGTTTGTACTCGTATGTCCCGGGGCCGAGATCGATAAGCCGGTCGCCGCTTGCTTCGCAGTGCAGCAGCCACTCGTGGAGGGCGAGGGCCCCGACGCCGGTCTTGGCGTGCTGAGGGTCGTACCCGTTGCGGAAAGCGATCGTGCGGCCTTGATGATGGAAGCCGTAGACGAACGCAATTGGTAGGCCATCGAGCCGTACCGTAGTCAGAGTCAGTTGGCCTAGCGCAGCCGCCGCCAGGTGGATGCCATGCATCTGCTCTCTCACGGGGTCGCTCGTGAAGCCCGCCTTCTCCTGGTGTTGCCAGGACTCTTTGCCGACCCGGCTGCAAGCCTCGAAGAAGTCCATCCTCGGGTCGTCCCCTGCCGCGGGTCGGAAGTGTTCGACCGTGAATCTCCCCATCGCTTCGAGCTGCTTCCGGGAACGCCGCAGGTTTTGTCGCAGCTTCTTACTCAATTGGTC